TTCCAAAAGGATATAATTTGTTTGATGTTCATTGTTTTTGCGATGCATATACAGCTTGTATCTATTTACGGTCTAAAACCGAAACAGGTGATTTTCAGGTTCATTTGCTTTGTGCTAAGAGTAAAGTTGCACCATTAAAGATTATCACTATTCCAAAACTGGAACTGTGTGCTAGCCTTCTGGGTGCTCAATTGACACAATTGGTTATGAATGCAATCCCAATTTCTGTGCCAGTAATTATGTGGACAGATTCTCAAGTGGCACTTAGCTGGATAAAAACAGAACCAAGTCGATTACAAGTATTCGTATCGAATAGAGTTGCCGAAATTCAATCTCTAACTGAGTTAAATAACTGGAAATATGTAAACACCAAAGAGAATCCAGCAGATCTTGCTTCTAGAGGTGTGTCATCTGAACAATTAATTAATAACTCCTTGTGGTGGACTGGTCCTCAATTTCTCAGAGAAGGCATCGTCGATTGGCCTAATGAAAGTACTAATATACCCCTGTGTGAATTACCAGAAATAAAAAAGACATCCTCTATTTTGAAAACAACAATTATTGAAAATTTCAATTTGTTCTCAAGGTTTTCAAGTTTTCACAAGCTTCAACGTATAACTGCTCTCTGTATTCGATTTTCTAACAATTTAAACCTCAAAAGACAAAATAAAACATTACAATGTGGCCCAATCACTATATCCGAACTCGATAATGCTCGAGCTATTTTGATTCGATTGGCCCAACATGAATGCTTTTTACCTGAAATTCAATTACTAAAGAAAACCTCTCCTTTAAATAAGAAACATAAACTGTCTTCCTTGACTCCATTCATAGACAACATGGAAATTATTCGTGTAGGAGGACGTTTAAAAAATACTTACCTGCCATATGACATTAAACATCCAATTTTACTTGATGGAAATCATCCTCTCACTAAACTGATTTTCGAATTTAAGCATAAACAGTTATTACATCCTGGTCCCCAACATTTATTGGCATCTGTCAGACAATTTTATTGGGCCACTGGTGGTAGAAATTTGGCCAAGAAGGTGACCAAAAATTGCCTTACCTGTTTCAAATTTAAGCCCGAACCTGCTGTTTGTCCAATGTCGGCTCTGCCAGATAATCGTATTAAGCCTAACTTACCATTTCAGACGACTGGCCTGGATTATGCAGGCCCATTTTTCATCCTAAATAAGCCAGGCAGAGGTTCAAGGTTGATAAAATGTTATCTAGCAGTATTCGTTTGTTTTTGCACCAAGGCAATCAATTTAGAAATAGTTTCTAACTTAACCACAGAGAACTTTTTAGCAGCATTAAGGCGATTTGCCTCAAGAAGAGGTGTACCTTCGAGTATTTATTCTGACAACGGGACCACATTTGTGGGTGCGAACAATGAACTTAAAAACCTAGGATATTTTTTGCATAATAATTTGGACTCTATCACTGATTTAACCAGCCAAGATAAAATTAATTGGGTTTTTATACCACCATACACCCCTAATTTTGGAGGCTTATGGGAGGCAGCAGTAAAAAGCGCCAAGCACCATTTAAAAAGAGCTCTAATCAATCGAAATGTTACTTACGAAGAGTTCAATACTCTGGTCATTGAAGTGGAAGGCATATTAAATTCGAGGCTTCTTTTTTCCATGTCAAATGACCCTAACGATTTGACCCCACTTACCCCATCACATTTCCTTATTGGCAGACCCCTTAATTCTATTCCTGATTCCAACCTGCAAGAAAAATCCAACGGTCTAACCAGGTTGCAGCATGTACAGAAGTTATATCAAGAATTTTGGGTACAATTTTCGAAACAATACGTGTCTCAACTCCATCAGCAGTATAAATGGAAGGAACTTCCCACCAAATTGACTGATGGTACCATGGTATTAATAAGGAACGACAAACAACCACCATATCTTTGGCCTATTGGTCGAGTTTTGAGTTTTTCTCCCAGCAAAGATGGTATTCCAAGGGTCGCAGAGGTTCTTACCAAGAATGGAAGAAGCTTCAGATCTGTTAGACATTTGTGTCCATTGCCATCGCAACATCAAACCAATAACTAAAGTGCAGTGCAAGTGCAAGTGCAAAAATCTATATTTTATTTTGTGTATTCTTCTATTCTTTCCTTTTAGAGTTAAGTACTTGCATTTGTTCTTTAACGCATATTATTGTATTTTTTTTTTTTTTTTGAAGGTTCCCTTCAAAGGGGGGAGTTATGTTAAAACTTATATTTTTTAGAATGTAATATTTGTATTTTTTGCTAATAATGGCAACACTGTATATCACTAGAAATCAAGAGGCAACTGTAATTTCAAGGCTAGTTATAGTGACTGTGGGTACTCTAGTTAGTTAGAAAAATAAAATGGAGTCACAGCAATTTTCGGCTCTCTAGAAAATTCGTCTATTTTTTGATTTATCCTTCAATTTTGTGGTCAATTCAGAAGAAAAAATTAAATTAGTTGAACCAGCAATATTTACAAAAACATACTGAAAACATCATTTGCGGAAGATTAGAAACAAACCCTGGGTGCTGCGTTGGACTAACACGTAATTTCATTGGAGATAAACCAGAAAGATTTCTTGTTGGAAAGACTCTAGTAAGAACAAATGGAGACATTATGATAAGAATTGCCAATGTTTCTTCCGAAACAGTAAGAATAAAAGAAGGAGACATTATTGGAGCTCTCGAACCAGTGAAGCAAATATCGAACTGTGACCTACCAGATAAGCGACATTTTGTGAAATCCAAATTGGATACAGACATCTTGATGCAGACCTTGGCGAAATCATGGAAACATCTCGATCCAGATAGACTTCGAGAAGCCACAGATTTCATTTTGAAAGAAGCAGATGTATTTGTGATGGACAATCAAACCGGCCGAACCAGCTTAATTCAACACAAAATTGATACTGGATTGGCACACCCAATTAGACAACCACCACGACGTATGCCAGTAGCTAAGCAACAGGAAGTGGAAAACCAAATTGATAAAATGTTTCAAGAGGGAATCATTGAAGAGTCAAATAGTCCATGGACTGCGCCAGTAGTATTGGTTACCAAGAAAGATGGAAGTCTTAGATTTTGTGTGGACTACCGAAAGCTTAATGACGTCACCAAGAAGGACAGCTTCCCTCTCCCGAGAATAGACTATACATTAACAACTCTATCGGGCTCCTCTACCAGCTTTGATCTCAAAAGTGGATACTGGCAAGTGGCAATACATGACGATGACAAAGAGAAAACTGCCTTCAATACCGAAAGCGGACTATACCAGTTTAACGTAATGCCTTTCGGATTGTGTAATGTTCCAGCTACGTTCGAGCCACTGTTGCATCTTGTTTTGCGAGGCCTCACATGGAGAACTTGCCTGGTATATTTGGATGATGTCATAATCATGAAAAATTCGTTCCAAGAACATCTCAATAGCCTGAAAGAAGTTTTTGACCGCTTTCGGAATGCCAACTTGAAATTCAATCCAAATAAGTGTTTTCTATTTCAAAAGAAAGTGGAATTCTTAGGTCACGTGGTATCTGAAGATGGCATACAAGTTATGGAAGGGAAGATAGATGCTGTCAGGGACTGGCCAAAACCACGCGACAAACATGAACTAAGCAGGAGTTTTGTAGGATTATGTTCTTATTATCGAAGATTTGTGGAAGGTTTCGCCAATATTACTGTCATACTAGCGACTAGGGCCCACATCATTCTGTGTCCTCCACTCAGGAACTAAGACTAAGACATTACCGCTCAGTTCTTGAGCTAGGGGTCTAATAAGTTGTTAAAAGCTAAGGTGGTGTATCATGAAGCACTAACCATTCACCTACAACTGAACGTTGGTGCTTTCCATGTTCCCCCTGTTCTGGGTGTAAAGTGAGCAGGCGATTTCTGAAAGCCGACATATCACTTGCTACTTTATAAATTGAAGTATAGGGTGTTTCAAATTCGAGCCACATCATTAGGATCTCGGAAACGGTGAGAGATAAAGGGTTGGCTAAATTGGCGCAAAGTTGCGTAATTTGTTGCTTAACAATATGCCGCTTTGATATTTAGGATATTCGATATTCCGAATACTAAAGTTGATGATGGTGGCCCAAAGACGAAACGTCAGATTTTAAATTTGATGCTAGCATCCTGTGTAGGGAAAAAAAGTGGCTATGATGAAGTGACGTTTTCTTTTAAATATCTCTTCAAATAATGTCAAGAAAAAATTAAAATTATTTTGCAAAATTTTGGTTTTTTCCGGATATCTTCGGAAGTATTTGGAATATCCTAAATATCAAAGCGGCATTCTGTTAAGTATCAAATTACGCATCTTTGCCCCAATTTAACCAACTCTCCTGTATTTCTCACCATTTTCGAGATCCCAATGATGTGGCTCGAATTTGAAACACACACGACATTGAAGCACTAACCGTTTGTCTGTAACTGAACACTGGTGCTTTCCTTGCTCTTGCTGTTGGGTGTAAAATAAAATCCGAAATATCTCTGAAAATTTGAGGGTTGCTGATTGCGAAGCACTAACGAAGTACCTATTAACCATCAAACCATCTATGTATCTACAACTGAACATTGGTGCTTCCCTTATTCCTGTTGGATGTGAAGTAAGCAGGCGATTTCAAAAAACCGAAATATCTCCAAAAATACAAGAGTTGCTAATTTAGGAATTGAAGCGCTAAACGATTACGTGAAATTTATTTTTTCTGCTTTAAGTGTGTCTGCCTACTTCACAAAGCCCCACGACGAACCACAAGCTTTTAAAGAACAGCAATGAAGGCACGAGAAGATCGAGTGATCGCCTATGATAGATTTTTCATTGATAGGAAATTTTTTATAGGTGAAAACTCAAGAAAATGTCCCCAAACACTGTTCACTGATGAGCCCACCCTTATATTTTCATTTTGAAACAAACATTAGAATGACACATTTTTATTATAAGTAACTAAAAAAATCGTTGCTAAGAATCGAGTGCTAATTTCCTACGCGTGATTTATAGGAACAAAGAAGAAAACTCGTACGGAGGACATACTAACAGCCGAAGAGGAAGATGCAAAAAGGGACATGATGAAAAGGCCCCAGCAACCAAAAGAGAATATCGTGATAGAAGGAAAGGTCACCATCACATCTAAAATGTACTTAATTTTGATTTGTATTGGCTTAAAAATTATCTTTGAAATTTTTTCATAGTGAAGGAGAAAAAGAAGCCCTTTGCTGCAAGTACAACGAAGAATACGACAGTATCGCCATCGGCTATTCCGATGGAGTTATAAACATGGTTCAATCGGCCACTGGAGAACCGATAGTTAAGTTAGGCGATCCAGACGTCATGGACAATCGGGCGCCCGTTACTTGCATTAAACATCGACCTGTATCCAAACAATATCCTATTACCAATTGCTATACAGCTACATGTCAGTTTTTTGTACATATATATATATATATTTTTTTAAATAATTTAATTCATTTTGTAAATTTAGATGCCAACGGATGCGTGAAATGCTGGAGCTACAATTTCAACCAGTGCCTCTATACGATTAGAGAGGACAGGCAAACTTACGGGCTCACGTATCATCCAAGATTTACGAAGTTTGTCACTTTCGGTGACGATTTGAAGGTTAATTTTTACGACGAAGAGACAAAGACACAGGAAAGGGTTTTATGTGCCAGGTAATAAATAAAGATGGAGTAGGCAACTTGGCGGACAATCGTTTATCAGAATCTTCCATTACTCGTTCAAAGTTTACTCGAATTTAACTTTTAACAAATGAATATTTATATTAAACTTTTGTTTGAATAATTATTATTACAGTGATAATCCTGACGCTCACGATGGTCACATGTCCAGAGTATTCGCCGCCTGTTTTCACCCGAAAAACAACTACGAACTGTTGACCGGCGGCTGGGACAATGTGGTCCAGTTTTGGGATTTGAGACAGCCGCACGCTCTCAGGCACATTTCCAACGTCCACATGTGCGGAGAGGGTCTGGACATGAACAACAAAGGAACCGAGGTGAGTTCAATTCGTTCGAATAAAATAATGAACCCTCCTATTTATAAATTGTGGAATTTGATAAAAATTAACAGTGAAACTCAAATTTCTAATTAGTCAGTGTTGCCAAAATGTAGTCGAATTGTTGTAAACTGCTGAATCGATACTCAATTCGTTATTATCGAATCCATAGGTTTGACAGCATTGTAATATCGTTTCGATTCTTATTCCTATTTTGAATATTATGACTGGCCTATTTTACCAATCTTTGTCTGGTCTTTATTTAGTAACAAGGAAATATAAAGAAATAGTCATTTTAATGTGTTTTCATGTTAAAAGAAGTAAGGTAGCGCTTTTTGATAAATATATAGGTACAGAGCAAGAATTCCAACAGGCACCCTTAGTTTTAACATTTCATCTCTGCTACTATGACTCAAAATTTTCAAGTACACAGGGTGAACCAAAAAAGTGTACCAAAAACTATATATTTTTTCCTTAGAGCAGGTAAAGGTAAAGGAGTAGTAACATGGAGTTGGAAAATGAAGCCGTTTTTTCCAGGTACCTATAGTATAGGCAATTCAATACTTTACCTGTATTTTGGTGCCAAACACCTGCCAAAAACTTGGTTTCACTGTTTCATAAGCAGAATGGCGCGTTCCTACTCCTTATGTCCGTAGATAAAGAAATTCAAGACAATGGAGAGACCAATGATATAAAAAGGCAACTTTGGCAGGAGAAAATCAATGTTTGTGAAAGAGCGAGTAAACTGGCAGAACTACGGCGTGAAGGACCAGTGTCGGTTAAGTAATCAAGAAACAAGTAGTAATCGAGAATCGAGAGACCTGTGTCCAGAAAGTCAGAACTACGGCGTGAAAGAGTTGTCGAATTACCAAGAGAAGAAGCACGACGTGAAATAACAGCGCGCAAATATTCGAGTTTTTATTAAGTGTTCATAATTAAAGTAAATACTTTCGACCAATAATTAGGTGTGGCCAGCAGTAAATATACAGTGTGTTCCAAATTCACTTCTCTATACAGGGATCTCGACTCCTATTATACCCACAGCAAAGGTTAAATGGAGAAAGTTCTAGAGGAAGCTAAGTGCATTCGATAATCAGGTTCAAAATTACGATCGCTCAATTAAAGTTGGAAAAATGACGAATTTCGTTTTTTGCCAGTTAACCCGAAACGGTTAATTTGACAGTAGTGAAAATGTGACATTATTCAGACACTTTTTTAAGACCAATGAGATAGCGTGCATGACAGGTCTCAATCGTCTTTTGTTATCCCAAAACCCGCCTCAACTTTCATTTTTCTTATAGCCGCCATATTGGATTTTTCGATTTTTGAAAAAAGCATAGAATTTCCAGTCTAGGGATGTGTTACAAGTGGATAAAAGATGTAAGTGTCATCGAAAAATTACACTTCGTAAAGTTAATGTATGGCCAACGATTATGAAGCTACGGAGCATCGGTGAGGGAAATCAAGTTGTAAAAAAAAAATGGTTGTTGACTGATTTCATCCTAGAGATGTTATGAAATAGCTTTTTCTTGTACCTAGTATGACGTGAACCTGCTCCGAACACAAACCTATTCCAAGTACCTGTTCCAGCTCCAAAGTATTTCCTGTCAAACTCAGTGATTCACATGGTCGCCGACAGGTGGCTAGAGGTTAGAACATGAATAAACTTATCTTTTATTAAATCGAATACCGAATGATGATTCAAATGCTGGCAAGTGGGCAATCCAGTGTAGCAGGAGCCTTATTGTCGATTTTCGTGTACGATATTATACTTTCAAAAAGTTCCGCACGCAGCTGGGTAGGTATTTTATGAATGAAATCAGTCGACAGCCATTTTTTTTTACAACTGGATTTCCCTTACCGATGCCCCGTAGTTTCAGTATCGTTGGCCAGACATTAACTTGACGAAGTGTGATTTCTCGATGACACTCAAATATTTTATCCATTTGTGACACATCACTAGACAGGAAATTCTATGCTTTTTCCAAAAATCGAAAAATCCAATATGACGCCCATAAGAAAAACGAAAGTTGAGGCGGGTTGCGGCATAACAAAAGACAATCGAGACCTGTCATGTACGCTATCTCATTGATCTTAAAAAAGTGTCTGAATAATGTCACATTTTGATAGCTGTCAAATCAACCGTTTCGAGTTAACTGGCAAAAAACAAAATCCGTAATTTTCGATTTTTCGCCGATATTTTCAAATCTAATTGAGCGATCGTTATTCTGAAGCCGATTATCGAATGCACTTAGCTTCCTTTAGAACTTTCCCCATTTAACCTTTGTTATGAATATAATAGGAGTCGAGATCCCTGTATAGAGAAGCGAATCTGGGACACACTGTATATTGTTGAAATCAGGTTAAACGGGACTAACAAATAAGCGCACAATATACAGGGTGTTCCATTTAAAAAAATATAATTTTACACTGCTGTACCTTTTTGACGCACCCTGTATGTCTAAAACTTTTGACAATGTTTAATCAACATGAAATTTGAATTACACATTTCGAAATTTCAACATTAAATTTAATTAAGTCTGAAATTTCTACATATTATAAAATTCACAATTTGTTATAAATTTGGCAAGGTAATCAAAGTATCACAAACCTTGCCCAAATTTAATAAAAAACCACGATTCATCATTCACGGCGTCAGTCACCTTAATTTCCGTAATGATACAGTGTAGCGCCAATGTTTTAGATACCTGCCTAAAAAGGGTCAACACACAGTTCATTGTTATTAGTTATGATAAATATAATAAGGTTCAAGTTGTTTTTTTTTTTTCAAAAAAATAGTTACTTGGCAGCGCTGCATTTAACCCAAATAAGGATTAAAAGTTGAATACAGAAATCGCTATAAGGTCTTCATTTACCACATAAAAACATACGGTATTCCATTTTTAAAAAAATAATGTTTTTGGTATTATAATTTTTTGGGACACCCCCTGTATACTATTTTTGAAATTTTCAATATGATTTATTGATGTTTGGAATTTTTGATAAAATACTGGATGATTTATAAAACATGTGGTACATATCAATTATCAATCCAAATTTAGGTTCTAGCATGTTCCTGGCAAAAAGAAGACCCCATCCAAGTGTTCGATTACGCATCCGCTAAAAAATTGTACTCTTTAGAGCCGGACATTTACATGACAAAAGTGAGACATTTTCAATTTTTAATCGTCCATTTAATATTATTGAATTTTTCAAGTTGTACTGCGGCAAATATGCTACCAAAGACTTTCTAGTTTGCGGCGGATCCGAGCCCCACATGTTACGCGTGGTGGATCTACAAACTACTGCAGTTGAGTACCTATTCAGAATTATGATTTAAAAATCACAAAAATAAATATATTTTTAGACTGCGGCCATGATAAATCAGTTACCGGGAGCCGTTTACGGGATGGATATGGGACCGATGAAAGTCAAAAAAGAAACCAAAACGGAAAAGTACACATCGAAAAACGACATTACGGTGGTACCGAAAATTGCCTTTGTTGCCGGGAAGAGATTGTATCAAATTGATTTTGTTTAGCATTGATTAAGAAGTAAAATAAAATACTTTGTTGAAGAAAACGACGCAAAATTCATAACTTTGTTGTTTTTTTTTGGGGTTTTTAATGACTCGAAATCACACTATTGGATGCAATGATTTCGCGTTAACTTTTTTGTGGGTCAAATTTGACCCTGTATAATAGAGGCATGCATTTTGCGTTTCATATATCGCTGAAGGCATACAAGCGTATCGCGCACCTCCTGGAATACCTAGTGAGAAAGGTAGAACGATGCGTCAGTATCATCGATACGATCCTCTCTGGGGAGCCACGAGACCTTGCCGTTGGTGTAGAGGCTCAACGGCCGTACGTCGCTGTGGCTCACCATACCAGGAAAGCAGACACACAGCATCCTGGTATGCTGGGTGTCTGCTAGACAAACAGCGTCAAAGAGGACACTCGACTCAGCCTCAGCCCGCAATCTGGGTTTCGCGGACCTGTTTCGGGATGGGGCCGAGTCGATTGCTCTCTATGGAAACCTGACTGGTATATCTCGCGCTCTAAGATCGGTGGTTGATGAGGAAGTATCTTAGGACGTGAGGGCTTACCTTAACTGGTCGGCCAAGTGGAAGGCGAACCACAAAAAAAATCCCTCCAAGTCACGGTGGAACAGCATAGGCCAAGGACTGCGTGGTTAGGGGAGAGCCTAATCGATACTATGCGAACTCTAGGGATGTGGCGACCCCACGGCTTAACTAGCCCGACCGGGACATGCGGTTAAGTTTACTTCCCTTGCTACTCGTGGAACCTAACATGGACACACAACAAAAAACAATCAAGGCGAAGAATGATAGCGCCTCAAGCACATCCGCAAACATGAAGGTAGGGAACTGTAAAAGCCCCACTGACGCAGAAGAAGAACTTCGAAGAACTCAGTGAAGATCTGATGAGTGCCCTCCAACTGAAGGGCGACGTGAGGATCAGGCTGAGTGGCGTTGCCAGAAAGAGGATGAAATTTCTCAAAAAAAAAGGGATGAGTGCAGACGAAGCCAGCAAAAAAATCCTTGAGCCAATCAAAGAACGGGCTAAAACCAAGGGCGAAAAAAGAGCCCGGTCGGAAGGAAACACCCCCGAGGTTTAAGAGAAAATAAGAGCCAGGACAAGGGAAATGAGCAGAAATGCCCCGCCCATAAAAAAGAAGGACACGAGCAGCAGTGCTCCGCCTTCTAGGGCTCCAAAACCAACCTTCAGCCAAATAGCTGGAGGCATAAAGGTAGGAATACTACCTACAGACTTCCCCAATTGCCTTTTATCAGTGGAGCAAATTCAAGCCACCAAAGAGGCAATTATGAACAAGATCGTGGACGAGGTAGCATCGGATTGCCCAGGGGCGGATGGGGTAGGTCAGACCGGCCCTGGATTTCTCAAGCTTACCGGCCCTATGAGCCTTAGAAAGCGGGAAAATTGTATGCCTAACGAAGCGCGCCGAAAAACCACGGATTTTTCCAGGTGCCACGTCCAAAAAGGTTTTCTTCAAACTCTCAAAGTCCACGCTAGCGTCGATTTTATTCTGATACTCGGAATGTAAGCTACTGGGCCTACTGGGCACCCTATATATTAGGACGCCAATGGTCACCTGATGTCGCACCTGTTTTTGCCATATACTTCACCCCGTCGCTCCTTAAAGCCCGTATCAGACGTGCCGTTGCCGATTCCTATTGACGATTACGATTGGGAATTCGACCAATCAAAATGTACCTGGTTCTGGTTGCGATTGCCGTTGTCTGTTTAGGTTGGAGTCTAAATTTTACGAGGCCTTTGTGAACCGTAGCCAATGAAAGCGCTTCATGAACAGCATGTGTCATGTGTCTAAACGTCACTTTTTTAGTTTTGCAATTTATCGCTTCTGGTACTGCACCTAAACCGATTTTGGTTTGGATCTTTCTCTTTCCTCTTCTTCCAATATAATCATATAGCACAGCAACGCAGAAGAAACTTTCCAACGACGTTCGGCGCTGTACTTTGAATATTTTAGCTGCGACATTTTGACGTTATAAACATTTCAAGTCACCAGCAATCGGTAACGGAACGGTGTAAAGTGTGATTGAAACCGCGACGGCAACGGCATCGGCTAACGGAATCGGTACGGCCTTTAAACGAAGATAAAAATTGACGAACAATAAGTAATGACGGACAGTACTGTCATAACGACTTTTTATCTCAGCGGTACATAATTTGAACTTTATTGTCGTCAACACTCGACACAGAAGTGTTCCATTATGTTTCCAGGACCATCAAAATCTTTATGCATGGGGTAATTTGTTCGATTTTTTCTCGCTAGAGGCAGCAGCGTTGTGTTGTGCTCTTGTAATTTACTATACGTATTCTTCTCGATAGATGGCAGCGTCAACGACCAAATTCTCAAAAGCCTGATTTATTCCTAATTACCTAATTTCCACTAATTTGTTCGTTTTCAATTATTTGTTCAAAGTTAGAAATTAAATTATTGCAGTAATAAAAGCAGGGACACTTTATCCGTTAGGACAATTAGGTCATGTCCTACGGGCCACAGAGGATGGGAGGCCAACTGCTGGCCTTTCCTTTAATTTATAATATAAAAGCCCACTATATTAAAAACATCGACTTGTTTAGTAGCAGGACTAGCACATATTTCAATACTCTTTAATTCTTAAAATTCACACTGCACAAGTACATTTGGCTTGGCCAGATTGCACTGCCTGACGTCACGATGCTCTGAAATTGGTCCGCTAGCTCCATCGAGCATCAATCGGGAACACACCCTAAAGTCACTGAGCTGCGCTGAATCGCCGTCGCGTCATTAGCGCAGCACAGGCACATGGCAACAACTACAGCAGGAACCTGTTAGTGTTAGTGTTTGCGCTAAGCCATTTGTTTCGTCTGAGGGCCTGTTTATCAATAGAGAGTTACCCCATAAGTTAGGGATAACCCTGGGTCAAGGTTGTGACAAGTGTTTATCTATCCAGGGTCAACTGCTACCTCGAAAGTTTTTCCAAGAAAAAGTTAAACCGCGCTCTCACGGCAAGTTAGCGTATTTGACCCTGGGTTATCCTCAACATTTTCTGTTATTTTTTGTCTGCATTTTTTTGAATGTTGTGGTTTTGGCTTAAATTTTGAAATTCTGAAGAGATGAAGGACCAAGATTTCAGTGTTGATGATCGAAATGTTCTAGAATTTCTAAAACATGAGCGACGCCCCTACCAGGTAAGGTTGAAGTCAAATCCCTAATCCCTTTGACAATTTTGATGACGTCGGCGAGTTTTCGCTTACGAAAAGAAACAATCTTACTTGTTCTAGAACAAATCGAAAATCGAGCATAGACTCGAATTCCCAACAGACAGGTACCACGTAAGTACCTACCTATGCTTCTGGTTTTTTCTCTCAGACATTTTCTTCTCTTTGAAACAAAACAACATATTTCCATACAGAATAGGTAAGTACGCGATACCGAAATTTTCGTTACGGAGACAAAAAATACCATAAAAAAGTAAGGTTATGAGCAGAAAATGTCGAAAAATCGACAAAAGTGAGCTGGCAACGTTGCATAAGTAATACCAACCTTCAAAGAACCCGAGAGTTTACAAGCCCTGGGTTGAAAAAGCTTAGATAAACACTTTTCGAATTGAGTAGGCACCTAGTTAAGTTAGCCCATTAGAGTTAGAGTTAACCCAGGGCCAGCAAACTCTGCGAGTTATCCCTTGATTGATAAACCGGCCCTAAATGAGTCCAGACCTGCCCGACTCTGTCAGGTGCTGCCCCCTAACACCGGAGAGAGTACCAGCTCGGAGAGGGAGACATTGCCGGGTGAACGAGAAAAATTCGATTACTTTTATTCTGGATGTTCACAGTCCTAAAATATAATAATTAAGTTAGTTTTTGCTTATTTTTTCACTGCAACTATCTATTCTCAAGTGTAAAGTTGACAATAGAGTGATGTAAAATTATCAGTGGTGTTTCCTTTGGTCGGATAAATACAAATTCTTCAGTTTAACCTCAAACCCCTTATAAATTGGCGCTCCAACTCGTGGCCTGAAGAATGTGTGTGGAATTCCGCTAAGAAGTTACTGCAGGTATTTTGATTATTGCTATTCGAAACTTTATATTTCTGCTGCCTTTTGACACTGTGTAAACAGTTCGACAGCCAAAACCTGTTGCAAGTATTTTATGATTTTTATAAGTATTCCGATAATCCTATTTTGGTTTTGTTCTGACACTGCATCACAGCCCTGTGAATCACAGTTCGACTGCCAAAAACTTGAGTTATCCTTTTATTATTTGTTCAAGCGTAAAGTGTTGACACTGTTTTGCAGTTCCACTTCTACTAACCTAAGTTGTTGTTTACAATTCACAGCACTCTATTTTACAGTGCAATATTGAACTTTATTGGACTATAAACCCCAAAGTGATTTTATAAGTAGTGTTTTTGTAATCTATTGAAACCATTCAAAGACTTTTCGTGTTCGCGAAGAACAGGGCTGGACTTCAAGGCCCTGGCTGTCAGGTCAAATCTGGATTGAGCAGGTTTTGACTTGATAGTTTCGTTCCAACCACACAATTGGATGATTTTGCGTTCTGGGAAAATTATACCAGGAGTTTTCAACATGCCAAAGTCAAGTGAAACTCCAGAAACAGCCTCACAGGCCATAAACCAAATAGTTATGACTCCAGAAATTCTACAAAACCTTTTAAAAGGATTACAGCTACCAAATCCAGCACCAACGCCCATTCCACCCGCACCAACAAATGGAAACTTCTCCCAATGTTCAGCCAGGTTCGTAGGAAACCGAACTGAGAATGTTGATGCATTTATCGATTCAATAACTTTCTATAAGGAATGTTTATTTATATCCGATCAAAATGCAGTCAAAGGAATTTCAATGCTACTCGATGGTAATGCTGCAACATGGTGGCAAGGCATAAAGAGCTCTATTACCACATTTGATGATGCTGTGCAATCATTAAGACATGCTTATGGCTATGCTAAACCAGCTTATCAAATTTATAGAGAACTTTTTGCCCATGAACAGTGCCAAGATGAAACTACAGATATTTTTATAAGCAAGGCTCGAGCATTACTGTCCAAATTACCCAGTACTCCTGCAGTACCAGAAGAGGCACAACTTGACATGGTGTTTGGCCTACTACACCCCCAAATACGTGAAAAGCTCAACAGAGATTCCATAAAATCATTTCGAGAACTGATTGAAGCTGCTAGAAAAGCCGAACAAGCTGTCAATGACAGAAAGAAAATAAATAATCAAAATAAGGATGCCAACTCCTCGACCAACTCACGAAGACCTAGACCCCAGTGCAACTACTGTAAGAATATTGGTCACACTAAGGATGAGTGTAGGAAGCTTAAGAAAGCAAACACAAGCCAACAAGAAGAATCAAAACCGTCAGCAGAACCTACAAGTGAAGTTAAACCCAAACTTGTCTGTCATGGTTGTGCAAAAATTGGATTTATAAGAAGCAACTGCCATGACTGCAAATATAGTTCTGCAACTAGTGCAAGCACTTTAAGTGCTGAATTTTTGTGTCAATCTATTGCACGAGAACAACAAGTAAAGGACGACCCTTGCTATCCATTAAAATTCTCAATAAACAAGGTTTAGCATTGGTGGACACTGGAGCTAAATCGAACGTAGCCAGTGCTACACTGAGAAAAATATTTTTAGAAAATAATAAACCCTACCAGTTACAGCCTTTAATCATGACTCTTGCCGATGGAAAGGAAAGACTCGTAGAAGCCTATGTTTTCCATGATATTGAGGTAACATTGGAGCACAAAACAGTAACTACTAGTTTTGTATCTGTCGAAGAACATGAAAATAGCCGTACACTGCTTGGATTGGATTTTATTAAAGCAGCCCACATAATTCTAGACCTCTCAAGTTTCCAGTGGCAATTTAAAGACCAATTAGACCCGATATATGATTTTGTACCTGAAAATGACCTTTCTGTGTCCTTCGCCATAGTGGATACACATTGTGAATTCCATTTCAGATCTGATGAAGGAACAAACCTCAACAATACAGAACGAATGAACTTGAACAAGCTTCTAGAAGCCAACACAAATCTATTTGCACAGAATACTGAGATCACACCATATTCTGAGCATGTTATTAACTTAACAGAAGACACACCTATATATGTACCACCTTATCGAATGTCGGAGCCCAAAAAAGAAATTTTACGCAAGGAACTAGACAAGCTACTCTAGAATGATAGAAGAATGTGAGTCAGCCTATGCTTCACCAGTGGTATTGGTACCAAAGAAAAACGGCGAAACTAGACTCTGTATCGACTACCAGCGCCTAAATTCTATCACCCAGCCTGATCGATACCCACTGCCACGTTTGGACGACATGCTCCATATGGCTGAACGCACTCCATTCATGACTACACTGGATCTGAAGTCTGGGTACCATCAAATCAGTGTCCGACCGGCTGATAGGGACAAAACGGCTTTTATAACTCCTTTTGGCTTATTTCGATATAAAGTGATGCCATTTGGACTACGAAATGCCCCCTCAACCTTTCAGAGGCTAATTGACCGTTTTCGCTCTGGATTACAGGATATAGCAATACTTGCATATTTGGATGATATAATTATCCTGTCAGAACTTTTGAACAACATTTGCAAAATTTGCAGAGAACATTTGGCCGTCTAAAAGAATTTAAACTTCACTTTAACAGGAATAAATGTACCTTCGCTTGTGATCAAGTGCATTACTTGGGTCACGTTATTACTACCCAGGGCATTATTCCTAGTCCCAGCAAAACTGAAGCTATTCACCAAATGAAATCTCCCAAGAATATTAAGCAATTGCTTACCTTCTTACAAACATGTTCATGGTTTAGGCGATTCATCGACAAATTTGCAGAGATTGCTCGACCATTAACTGAACTCACCAAGAAAAAAGCTAAATGGGAATGGGGACCAAGGCAAGAAGATGCCTACAATAAATTGAAAATTTTACTTACCAGCCAGCCCATCCTCAGACAAGCAGACCCTACCTTGCCATACATTTTACGAACGGATGCAAGTGCATATGCAATAGGAGCAGTTCTACTCCAGGGGGAGGGAATTGACGAACGACCAGTTGAGTATGCCAGCAGATTGCTCACAGCTGCAGAGAGAAATTATGCAACTACAGAGAGAGAGGCACTTGCTGTAGTTTGGTTGAAAAGTTCCGAGGTTACTTAGAATCTGCAACTGTTCTTGTCAAAAGCGACCATCAGCCCCTAAAATGGTTGCTCTCCTTGAAGTCACCTAGTGGAAGACTTGCTAGGTGGGCCTTATCACTTCAAAACTATGACCTCAAAATTGAATATATACCAGGACGATCCAATGTTATAGCTGACACTTTGTCACGCCCCCCTATCGATGAAACTGAAATTGGGATAGTAAGCATTGATTTACCGAATGAGGGTTCAAGGAAACAACGAGAAGCTCAGATGAGAGACCCAGAAGTCAAGAAAATTATAGACAGCTTCGAGACACCCAATCCCAATGATGTAAATTACAAACGCTGGACAGAACGAGGTTATATGATGTCAAATGGAGTACTGTACCGATATGATCCTGAAATCGACGAAGATGAACCACAACAAGTAATACCACAAGCCCAAGTCTTGGATATATTGAAAGAATATCACGATTCCCCGATATCTGGACATGGTGGTGTGGATAGGACTTTGCAACGAATACTCAAACGATTTTATTGGCCCGGTAGCATTTTTGTATCGAGCGTCCAGCAACCCGCATTCGGGGTACCCGACCTCGGCACGTATCAAGCGCACGGTAGTACGAAAATCACTCGGACTACCGTATGCTCGATACTCGCGACTCGCGCCTACAAGTCTCGAATATCTTTTTGAGTTTTCCTGGCTCCTCACCATTAAGCTACTTGATAATATGTATTAGTTTAATTTTGGTTCTGGTAGTCAAATCGTAAATCAATTTTAATTCTAGTAGTTCACTAAGTGGAATGGAAAGTAGCAAAAAACTTAAAGATTAATAAGATTTTGCTATTTGCCTAGTTATTTGATGCTGTCTCTAACAAACTATCCCAAACTAACCCTAAGGCTATCCTTACCTTAACCTTTTGCTCAGCTCCAATTTGGGTTAGTTTTGGTTAGTTTTGTTACTTAGAGACAGCATCATAAATAATTATTTACATCTGCCTGAATCTAATCTCCGCATTTGTCAAATAACGATTGCAGGTATACAAATCCCTAAGTAAATAGCAAAAATCATGTTAATTTTTACCTGCTTTAAAAATTCGATTTTTAAATCGTTCTAACATATTTCAAAAAATAGGCGTTTTTTTTTTTGGAGAAAAAAGTATACAGATGATTATACAACTCACTGTACATTATTCCTACATGACACGAGAGGCTTAACAAGTGATAAGCCTTTTGGGATTATCGCGCTTGGTAGCATTTGTCAATAATAATAATAAAAATTGATAAAGCATTTAAGTTTAGTTCGTTGTATAACCTTTTGAATACCACTCGATGTTTCAGGATTACCTAATACTTTTACCTGACACTCAACGCGTTACCAGCAACACCACTCCTCCTTCAGAGTCGTGGTGTTGCTGCGTAACGCGTTTCGTGACAGGTAAAAGTATTATCCGGTAATCCTGGAACCTCTTGTGGTATTACATTCGATAATGTCATTGGAAAAATGGCTAACACAATAATTCAAAAATGTTTTCGAAAAAACGTGAAAGTGGCCTATTCTATCTCGCCATGGTATTCTATTCATGGTAAGGTTATGTAGATAAAACATAATTTTGCTCTTACCTATTCCCTTACCTCGACTTCCTGCTTAGTCTTGAAATTAGTTCGTATTTCGCTGGAATCGACAATGTGATACATATAATTTTCTGGCCAGTGCATAATAAATGATAAAAATTTAAAAAAAAAACTGAATTGTTGGACGCCGATCCATAATTTTGCAGAAGACTAGTATCAAGCGTACGGTAGCTTGACAATCGATCGGGAAATCAGACGCTCGTTATGAGACAGGCCTCGGTTAATACGACGTTACCCGAATGCGGTATACTGGGCGCTCGATACAAAAATGCGGCCCGGTATGCGAAGAGATGTAACTAAATACGTTTCCCGATGCTTACAGTGCCAAAGATTCAAACCTGGGAACATGAAGCCCTCTGGTCTATTACAAACTCCAATTCAGTCACAACGATTTGAAGTTCTGTCAATTGATTTATTTGGACCGTTACCAGATACCACAGACGGGTATAGATGGATATTTATACTTGAAGATGTAGCCAGTAGATGGATTGAGCTCTTCCACCTCAAAACTGCTACTGC